GTGAGAAGAACGCAGTAAAGACATCCTTAAGTTAACAAGAGGGCACGACTGGGGCCACAGGACTGCACTGTCGTGGACCCACTTTGCAGTGGGGTTTCAGCCCTCTCATTGGAAATGTACTAATAAAAACATCCTGCACGGACTCTAAAATAAATAAAGATGTATTTAGAGTAGAACAGTCTTCCTGACGTCCTTTCCAACTTTCCTGCCTGTCTAAAAGAAAAACATTTTCATTTGTTGGTGGCATACCACCATGATTAATTGCACCTAACCAAGGATACAGAACAGCAATTCTGTGGCTCTCAGACTTTGCAAAGCTCGTCTTGTTCAAAAACCCAGAGGAAGCTCAGAAATGTCTCAGTATAACCCATGGCCCTGGCAGCAACAATTTGCCAACATAAATCTCAGTAGGAAATATGGCTTTCCGTTCTGTTCCTTTCACTGCTCATGTAGCTTGCTGCCGGGACTAACAGAAGTCTCCTGGGCAGTCACCCCAGCATCGCCTTAAAAAGAGTATGAGAACGCAAAACAAGGTAACTAATGCTACCGATTCCTGCCTTGACTTCTACCCCACCCATTTTTAGTCCCTGTTTTCCTGACCAGAGCCAGGATGGTGGACAAAAACTGGGAATAGCAAGAATGTCAGACATTAAACTCAGAGCATTAGGAATTAGATTTACTCAACTAACTTAATTATGGCACTCTATACAGCACAGAGGCAGCCTGGGGTCCAGCTTAGATAAATGAGGGTGTCTTTTCCATCTGTAATTGGTCTGTCAAAACAGGTTTTTAGCAATAAAGAACCACAGTCTTGGGACAGATGGAATTCACACATTCTACTCATAATGCAACATACATAATGGCGTTCAGATGCCAAACTCTCCTGTCACATTCTCTCAGCTGCCAATGCAGGTGGTGTTTACCCCAAATCCATTTCCCCCCAGGATCACCATAATTGGTACTTAGGAAAAAAAAGAAAAAAACCTACCTACTTGGCTCAAATTAACACTTCCAATGTGAAGGTCTGTTTTGTGCAGGATTTATGTTCCTTCCTAGTATAGCCCTGGCCTTTTGGATGAAGTAAAGAGTTCCCCCAGTGAAGAGCAAGCCTTTCTCTAATGCCAGCCCTGAGCCAGATTTAAGCTCTAATTCAGTCCACAGAGACCCAGGTGTGATTTGAGAATTTGCACGTGTGCCTCTGCCCCATCGGTGAAGCCAACAACCTCTCCTTGCTGGCCGCAGCTCCTCTCACATCTTTGCCCTCCCTGCACTTGGTGACACTTCCAAATTTATGGGGTTTCCCATCCAATCATTACAAACCCATATTATAGGCAGGGAAATTAAATTTTCTTTCTTAGTAAAGATGACCTAATGAGGACTTGTGTAGTGCTCTATTTTTACTGAAAGGAGACAGATCTACTAAAAGAGAACCATTAAAAATCTGTCTTTTAAAAGGTAAATAAAAATATTTCTTAAAACCTTCAGCTGTACCATCAGAACCTCAATCCTCCCATGATTTTTTTAGATTAAGTGAACTCTTATTTTCTGTCTAAGGAGTGCAAGTGAGACTTTCATGGGTTTTCATTGCACAAACCCTTATGATGGTATTTCTCAAATAAGCAGTTGTGTCCACTGGAGTTAGGAGTGAAGAAGAGGTCAGTACGGTATCTTGAGAAAGTTATGGGGAGTAGAGAATGTTCTGATTTGACTGGCTGGGGACACAGGTTTTATTAATTAATATGAGGAGCAGAGCCTTTTCTGTGTATTTTCATCTTCCCGGGTTTTAAAGTAGGCTGGACTCCCCAAAGAGAATCTTGAGTTTTAATACAGACTTTCAAAACTTTTTTTCTCCCTTTTGGAAGCTGGGTCTGAGCCTCTGGTTTCAGATCATGTGAGTGTGAATCCTGCTTTTGCCTTTTTCTAGCTACGAGCCCACCAACATGTTACTTAACCTCTCTAAGCCCAAATCTCCCCATTTGTGAAACTGAGATGACTGTAGTCCCTAACTCATAGGGTCGTATTGATGATTAAATGAGAAATCAGATGAGATCATCTTCCTCACATCACCAGGCTCAAGCACATTCTTAATAACTGTTTCTTGCTGTTGTTAATCTCTGAACATAAAAGGTTGTGGATTTTACCTAATAGGTTCATGGAATAAGTTTGAGGTGCCCTATCATGGAGCCATCAATGTCTAAAGAGAAACAAATGACCCATGAGGCTAAATAAATAATCAAATAAACATAGATCTTAGAGCAACCTAATAATGGGGTATTTTATAATAAGCTTTGCCATGGCCTCACAGAGTGAATGTAAGTTAAAATTTTCCTTGTCTTTTTAGGCAATGAGCAATAAATTCATAATCTCTATTTTCTATTTCACACATTTAAGTGTGACCTGCCTGGTAGGTTCACACTGATTATTTTAAGAATAATGAGCGAATCAAATCTATTTAAATTTTTTTTCATAGTACCTTCATGGGGAACTTCATCAAAGTCTAGCATTCGAATCTGCTTCCTAGGATCTGGCTGATAAGAGGAGGAAAAAATCTTAGGCTCACTCTTGACTAGTGGGGGGCTTTCTAAGTCCCCCCTCTCTCTTTATATATATATGCATATATACATATACATATATACATATATGTGTGTGTGTGTGTACACACACATATGTGATTTTTAAAATGCACATATGTATTACAAATTTATGACGTGAACATTAATCCCAGAATCAATCTGCAGGTAGAGATAGTTGGTATTCCAGTAAGATGTGAATTAAAACCACTGAAGTAAAGTTGAAAAGGGAGAACAATAAAAATAAAAAAGTAACAAACAACAATAACAATAAAACCCAACAAGCTGAATCCCACCAGAGCTAGGTAAAAATAGGTTTAGTGGTTTCATCTATTCAACATTCTCTTCTTGAATGCCACCTATGTGCCAGGTATCTTGCTAGAGTTTGAGAATAAAAATGAAAAGGATTTATTCACAAACATAAGTGTAAGAGATTACCCAAGTAATCTGCCCAGGTTTAGGCCTAATGAGTAAGGCCAGACCTTGAACAGGTACTCGTCTGTCCCTAAAGTCCACTGTTTTTCCTACCATACCAGGTCGCAGGCCCCACTGGCATCCAGTCATGAATTTTCTCAGATCCCTTCCCCTGACTCTGCATCCATCTAGCTTCTGTGGGTCATGCTGTGAAGTGCTGCACCTCTGATCTTGAAGGGATTGCTCCTGGACACCGGAGTCTCAGTGCCTCAACAGAGAGTCAGAAATGTCTTGGAGCCTCCATGCCTCACTCCCTCATCTCTGCCCTCCACAGTCCCAGAGTGAGATACAGCCAATGAATGACCAGTGTGGGAATTTAAAAGCCCAGATCCTTTGCCACAAGGCACTGTGAACTCTGAGATTGAACTTATGCTCCAGAGTTCCCCACAAGATCAGGCTAGACCTCGCCTGGAACCATATCTTTGCTTGGCTTCTTTTTCTTTTCTGTCATGCTGCCTCTGCCTTCTCTCTGGTTTTACCCTGGGCACACTACCACACAAATTTTCTTTCAGGGTCTGCTTCTTGGAGACCCTGACTTGAGACACCTGTGTTATGATATGAACTATATATTTTTTTCACTTTATCTTCATCTAGATTTTAACCACATTAACTACAGGATAATGGGAATATGTTATTAAATGAGATTTTTAGATCATATTATGAATATGGAATTAAAATTAATCATATGAGATCATTGTTTAATCAGTTAAATGTGCATATATTTAGTGAGGGAAGAGTCCCAGGCTGAGGGAACTCCTGACTCCAGAATGGAGGGAGCTCTAAGAGTTCCACACCACAGTCAGCAATGGGCAGTTCCAAAAGAACTATCAGAGGTTCTCTCGGATTCCAGCCTATTAGGAGTCCGACTGTGGTGAGGATCTTTGTATATGGGGCACAACCTCAATTCCGAGCAGGGAGGAGTCCCTGGCCCTGAAGGGATTCCAACAACCTCACTAAATGAGGTTAATTACCCCAGAATGTAAGGAACCCCACAGAACCTTACTCCTGCTCTCAGCCCTGGGAGGACCCGAACACAGTGGGGGGAGCAGACGAGGAGCAGAAGCGGAAGGAACGTCCTTTAACTTCTGGTTTCAAAGTTTCACCGCAAAGGCTGGTACTGAAAGGTGTGGCGTCTATCGGCAAAAGGAGAAGTCCTACGACTGGTCAAGTGAGGATATTGAATGAGGGAACCAACGATGCCAGAATAGAGGGACCCCCATGAGTAAAGCCCTGTCTCTTTTCTCATCCCACAAAAACTCTGAAATAACTGTCAGATGGAGGCACATTGACTGGGGCCTCAGGAATCCAACAGTGGTGAGGGTCGTTGTCTGAGGTGGGAGAGGGGGCACAAGTCAATATAAGGAGAACTGAGTGAGGACTGAGGGGACCCGTCCTCTAGAACAGAGGGGCCCTTTAGAGCTCTACTATCAGCCCTGGGTGGATCAAGGTGGAGCTGGGGTGGGGGAAGGGCATGCCTGGCAGTGCTTTCCCTTTACTTTTCCTCAGGAGTCTGAGTGTAGCCTCCAATCAGCTGAGGAGGAATCCCAGCCTCTACCACAGTCAAGGTAAGATACTTGGTGAAGATTGAGGGAACATCCACTCTACACTGGCAGGAACTATACAGATCCCAACCCGTATCATCACCCCTGGGAGGTGTTAGGCCGGGGTAGCTGGTAGCCTAACCCTACCTACCCTGTTGTCAGCTGTGGTAAGCTGTGTCAGCCCACTGCACCCTGAGGAGCCTTCTCACTCCTCCTGCAGCTTCTTACCATCCAGGAAAGGAGACCTGTGAGGCTCTAGAGTACTGTTCTCAGGAAAAGATGGGTGGAGACACTCTTCCACGGTTGAGTTTACCAGATGAGGCCACTCACATCCTCCCTTTCTCCCTAGGTTGTGGTCCCCTATCATTCATGCTCCTGCCCACATTCCTCCCTGCTACCACTAACAGAAGTGAGCATGTCTCAGGGTCAGGAGATCGCAAGCTGCACACAGGAACAACACTATGCCCCCAGCAAGAGCCAAGGCCTGGAGGCTACACAGGTCTCCAAGGCTGTGGAGGAGACTTCTCCCTCCTCTGGTTCTCTGATGCCTGGCAACATGGAGGAAGCTCTGGCTGCTGGAATACCCAGTGCTCCCCAGAGTGCCTACTCTTCTTACCCTCTCATCACAGCCATCTCACCAGGCAAATCAGGTGAGGGCTCCAGCAGCCTAGAAAAGGATAATAGTTCTGCTTCTTCATCAAAGTCCCTGTCCGACATTGAGAATTTCCCCATAGACCCTCTAGATGAGAAGGTGACAATACTGGTGCAGTGCCTGCTGCACAAGTATCAAATGAAAGAGCCCATCACAAGGGCAGATATGATTGATGTTATCTTAAGAGTACAACGATGAGTTCCCTGAGATCCTCAAGAAAGCCTCTGAGCACATGGAGCTGGTCTTTGGTGTTGATATGAATGAGGTAGACCCCACCAACCACAGTTATGTCTTTGTCAACAAATTGGGCCTCACTTATGATGAGAGGCTCAGTGGTGAGGACAGCATGCCCAAGACCAGCCTCTTGATAATTGTCCTGGGTGTGATCTTCATGAAGGGCAATTGTGCCACTGAGGAGGAGATCTGGGAAGTGCTGAATATGATGGACTTATATTCTGGGAGGAAGCACTTCATTTTTGGGGAGCCCAGGAAGTTCATCACCCAAGATTTGGTGGAAGAGGAGTGCCTGGAGTACCAGCAGGTGGCCGACAGTGATCCTCCACGCTATGAGTTCCTGTGGGGTCCCAGAGCCCACGCCAAAACCAGCAAGATGAAATTGCTGGAATTTCTGACAAAGATCCACAAGTCCGACCCCAGGTGCTTCCCATCCCAGTGTGAGGAGGCTTTGCGAGATGAAGCAGAGAGGGCCCGAGCTAGATCCAGCAGCGCCCATTCTGGTGCTAGATCTCACAGCTCCTCCCAGCCCTCTCAGCCCTCCCAACACTAGTGCTGGCAGGGGCAGATTACTCACTTTGTCCTTAAAATTAGCAAATGAAAAAAAATAAAAAAATAAAATTATCAATCAATCTTCTAAGTAGTGGGGGGCTGGGGTGTGGCTGTAGGGAACACGGTGTGTAACATCTCTGTGTCCCTTGGTTAACACGGAGGTTTATCTTCTTCATGGAGGGAGTTTGGCTTCAAACGTTGTTCCCTTTAATACACCATTTTATTAGCTTTAGAACCTAAGTTTATGAATGACACTGGTCATATATTTATTACTATTTATGAAATTTAAGAATACCGGTTTTGCTTGTTTGTAAAACAGATATGTAAATTGGACCATTCTACTTTGTCGTCTGAAAAGGTCAGTGATATTCCAACAGGCATTTTTTTGGAAGTGTCAGCTCAGCAGTAAAATAGTTGGGGTCAAGGAAAAAAAAACCCTAAAGGTGGTCAAAAGATACCAAAACTGGGACGCCTGGGTGGCTCAGTTGGTTAAGTGGCTGCCTTCAGCTCAGGTCATGATCCCAGCGTCCTGGGATCAAATCCCACATCGAGCTCCTTGCTCAGTGGGAAGCCTGCTTCTCCCTCTGCCTCTGCTTGCGACTCTGTCTGCCTGTGCTCACTCTCTCTGACAAAAAAAAAAAAAAAAAAAAACCAAAGTCAACTCTTAGCCTCTCCTAACCCTTTTAATCTGCCATTCTGTAAAATTAAACGACATATACTGGCATTGGCTTGGATTATTTAAGAATGTGAGAAATAAATCTTAATAAGTTATACCCCACATACGCTGGCTTATTTATTCCCCAAATATTAATTCAGCATCTGCATTTTAGAAAGCACTGTGTTAGTGGGGATGCTAGGATAAATAAGACTTATTACTTGCCCATGGAATTTTATATTTTAGGAGCAAGAATCATGTAAAGACAATAATGGTTGAGTATCCTTTAATACCAAAAGAAAATAAAAAGGAATGAAGGGGTGGGGGGGGTCCATATGAATGCAGTCAAGTTATAAGCCCTTCAGTGGGAGGTAATTTTAAATTAAACTGTAGTACACTAGCTGAGGCTATGAGAGTGGTGAGCAGGGGTCAGACCCTCAAATGGTATGATTCAGAGTTGAGAATGGAAGGAAAACTGTTCTCAGCAGCTACTCTGGTTGACCAGATCCCACCTGGGACAAGAATGGAAGATATCCTGAATTCTTGTTCAATCGCAGTTGCACATGAACTATTATCCTTTTCTAGGATTGTTCAATGCACATGCACAAATTAGGTGTTTTATGAACATCATCTTCAAGGAGTTTGTGAGAAATAAGGATGACATTTCCTTGAGGTGAGATACCCAAAAGCCACTGGGCTGGCACTCTGCCCCAGGCTCGGAGATGCAGAGCCTATACCATTCATTAAATGGGTTATGCTCAAATATACTTTGGCAAACTCTAAGCAAGGAGGAGGTAAGTGAATGAAAATAGGGACAGATTATTGGAAGGGCAACTGGGAGGGAAGGACCCACACAAATTCTAGGAGTATGGAGTTGCATTCAGTTGAGAAATACTCCCCCAAACCCAAATTAAATAATATATCCTACACTGGGGAAGATTTACTAAGGTTTTCTTGTTAAGCAGCCATTTGGGCTGGTTGGGTGTGCGGTGTCCTAGAACACTGCATATTTTCTGACATCTGGGTTAACAAGTCCCAGAGAGGAAGGGACTAATGTCTGGGGTCAAAATCATCATAGTAGTAACTGCCGATCATCAGAGACTCAACGCATACCACACACCGTGCCAGGGGCTTGACATACAACACATTTTAATGGTCATTCATACAAGACCAGGCTGATCAAGCCCATTTCACAGACAAGACCATGAGGCTTAGAAAGTTGTGAATGTACACAAATCGCAGGCCTAGTATGTGACAGAGTTGGGACTACACCTCCTGTTTGAATTCTTCCAGAGCCCATGCTACTCTTTCTACTCCTCCCAACCTGGGGATAAACCTCTCATTTTTTAAAGATTTTATTTATTTATTTGACAGAGAGCGAATGTGAGCGTGTGAGCACAAACAGGGGGAGGCGCGGGCAGAGAGAGAGGGAGAAGCAGACTCGCTGCTGAGCAGGGAGCCCGACTTGGGGCTCGACCCCAGGACCGATCTGCCCTGGGATCATGACCTGAGCCTAAGGCATATAGATGCTCAACCAACTGAGCCACTCAGGTGCCCCCCTGGGGACAACCTTCTGTTAGCTCATTTCTCATTATGGAGATAATGCTTCTTCAGGGGTAAAAAGAAGGACCTTGTAGCCAAAGTACGAAAAACAGATAAAATGAAGGAACGTGAAAACGAGAATCACACACAATTTGGGCATTGTCTGTGGGGTTCATTTACCCAGAGTGCTGCTGCCACAACCCAGGGATCCTCAAGAGTTCCCTGTGCTCAGTAGCTGACACAGGTGTGCTGTCCCAACACCTTCCCATGTTAACGGTGCCCTTCCCCCGAGTCTTCCCCAATCGCCCTCCTGTCCAACTCTGGAAGCTGACCTGCTGCCCAGCCCTTCACTGCGTCTTCCTCTGGACACTGTACCCTGCTTCCAGAGGAAGAGACAGTCCAGGATCACCTACCCTCCCCCTGACTCAGAGGATTCCATTTTCTGCCGGCATCTCCTGGCTGACTGTCACCATGGGATCCCTCTGCTACAACTCCTTCACTTAAAAGATTTTATTTTATTTTGTTCTATTTTATTTTATTTATTTGAGAGAGACAGAGAGAGCATTAGTTTGGGGGGGGGTGGGCAGGAAGAGCAGAGGAGGAGGGAGAGGGAAGGGGAAAGAATCTCAAGCGGACTCTGCTGAGCGTGGAGCACCGATGCGGGGCTCGATCTCACCACATGAGATCATGACCTGAGCTAAAACCAAAAGTCGGATGCTTAACTGACTGAGCCACCCAGGCGCTGCAACCTCTTTTCTTTAAAGAGTGAAGCTTAGGTACATGGTCATTCCCTGATGGGCTTCTTCACCATACTCTCAAAGTGTTTTACAAGTGGGCTTGTGAGCGGAGTCTAAGCAGGCACAGAACATATTGTGAACTAAGAGAAGTTTTTGAAACCACCTTGATGTCTGCAGTAGGATTTTAATGGGATATCCTATTTGGGACTAGCCACTGAAAAGATATACCAATGAGTAAGCATACCTACATGGTCAAATACCAAAACTTCCCTCTTAAGAGATAGAGGGGACAGAACTATGGCAATCACGGTATAAGCAAACATCTATAAAACCCAAGTCTAAATTTCTATAACCCTGGAAGTCCTAGGAAGCAGGAGGAATGGAGATGCCAAGGATTAGTTCCTTGGCCTAACACGCTATACTGATTAAAAAAGAAAAAAGAGATAACTCACCATCTTTACGTTATCTCTAGCTCGTGTACTTTCCCCAGAAGAAAGTCCTGGTTTTCACTGTGCCTGATAGCACTGTACAGATGTTGAGGCGTACTCAGGTGGTGTACAGCAGACACCCTAAAGTTAAGAGAGTGACCATGCAGCAAAAAGAACGAGATAATTCTCACCCGCTAAAATTACAGAGGGGTTTGCAAAGGGCAGTGCCGAAAGGTGCTACTCGGCGAAGAAGGGTGAACCTTTCCTGGAGGGATTTACAGCGTTCTTTTAAAAATCAGATGTGATCCTGTACTTGAAAGCCTGCTCAAAAAACGTGGCCAACTGCAAGGTGAAGAACACACTTCACAGAAACTACTCCAGGAAACAAAGAGGGTTATTGTCCTACCAAACTATAAAAAGAGCACCTATTATGTAACAATTAAGGGAAGGGACTGCAAGTGCTCATGCACATCCTTTCTTGGCTTCTTTCCTGGGTTCACAGGAAAGCTACATTCCCAGTCCATTTGCAGTTAAGAAGGTCAGGCAGGGATGCCTGGTGATCTTAGGTTGTAAGTTTTTAGTCTTCTCACTGTTAAGTATGGTGTTAGCTGTAGATTTTTCATTAATATTCATTATTCAGTTGAAGAAGTTCCTTTCTCGTCCTAGTTCTCTGAGTGTTTTTATTGTGAAAGGGTATTGAATTTTGTGAGGTTGTTAAGCCTCTGCCTTTAGCTCAGGTCATGATCCCGGGGGTCCTGGGATCAAGTCCCCCGGGCTCCTAGGTCAGCAGGGAGCCTGCTTCTCCCTCTGCCTGCCACTCCCCCTGCTTATGCTCTTTTTCCCTCTGACAAATAATTAAAAAAAAAAAAAAAAGGATCATGTGACTACTCTTGCCAGAAGCAGTACTTGTCATTTCTGGGCCAATTCATTTGAGATCCAGGATGCTACCTCCACTTTCTTTCGTGCATTCAGTAGAAAGATGGAGAGATCGTGTTGAGACACGGAACTACGAGACAGAAGCAGCCTACGTCTCTGTGTCACCAGTTAGCAAAGATGCACATCAAATTTTATGTGCACAAGAAATAAACCTTTGTTAAGTCATTCAGATTTTATGTTTTATGTTTTGCCTCAGCTAGCAGTTATTTTATCTAGCTAATAAACAGGTACTATTTATGTTCTTAAGCTTATTTAAAAATTTTAATGACAAAGCTAATAATAGTGCATATATTCTCTTGTTGCAAGTATTTCTAACAACATACATAAATCTAGCCCTTCCCTTTACCATGTTCCTCTAAAACTCAGCTTTCTCCACAGGGGTAACTGCAATAAAAAAAAATATGGTGTCTGTTATTTTAAAGGTAATTTTAAGCTTTTTAATACATAGATGTGCTATAAAAATATACTGTGATTTTTTAACAGACTGGGTAGTGATATACATACTATTCTCCCACTTGCCTTTGTCACTTAATAAAATGAATGCAGCATCATTCCATGACAACACATAAAAATCCACCTCATTATTTTAACTACTCCCTATGACTTTAAAGCATATATGTTCCATCATTAATTCAACTGTTTTCCTCCTGATGGACGTAAAGTAGTACCCATTAGTTTCTATGGTAAATAAAACTGAATCAAC